CATTTAACCTGTACAACTCAGGGCTTTATTGTTTAAGGAGATTTAGTTATTTTCATTTTTCTGTGTGTGGATGTTTAGTCTGTGTGTATGTATGTATTCCATGTTTATGCATAGCTCCCTCAGAGGCCAGAAGATGGCGCTGCATCCCCTGGGACTGGAGTTACAGATCGTTGTGAGCTGTCATGTGAGCGTTCGAACTAGGGTTCTCTGGAAGAGCAGCCAGCACTCTTAACCACTGAGAGATCTCTCCAGACCCCTTATTGATTTTATTATACCTGAAGTTTTACAGCTATCAGGACCAGCAGTTGTAAACCATTTTTGTCTTTACTACTCTAAAACCCCCAATACTCTTTATGTATGACCTCCAGGTTATCCCAAGTCCTTAGCCTTAAGCAGTTATCAATATACTCTATTACATGTGTTTTAGCTGGTGTGTTTGTGTGTGTGTGTGTGTGTGTGTGTAGGCCAGAAGTCAGATGCCTTTCTCAATCATTCTCTAGTTTTAGTTTTTGAAACAGAGTCACTTACTGAACCTGGGCCTTGCCACTTTGACTCCACTGGCTGCCCTACCGTGTCCGTTTCCCTAGTGCTGAGATCGCTGGTTCCTGCGAACAGTTTCTTACAGGGTTGCTGGGGACTAGAACTCAGGTCTTCATGACTGTGTGGCAAGCAGCTTACCAACTGAGCTATCTCCCCAACCCCTATATGTGTTTTAATGGCTAGTTTGTCAGCAGATAAGAAAGAGAAGTCATTTTCTTCACTATAAAACAGGTCTAGTATAGATTCCCCCCCCCCCCATTTTAACCTTTAAATATTTTAAACTTAGACTCAACACTCTGCTTCCCAGGTTGTGTTTTGTTATGATAGGGCTGATGACCTAACCCCCCTCCCCGCCCTCCTTGAATTTGAATGAAACGTTCAGCTTTGAAGTCTTTGTAGTATTTCATCCATCCTCAGGTCTTCTAGGCCTCCACTACAGTGACTGGGTCAGAGTTGTTGTAGAGACGCGTTTTGCACTCTTGCAAAACTTTCAGGAAGGGCTGTTACTGGAGAAGTCAACGGAATAAATTTGTGAGTCCTGCCTCTCCGGCTTAGAGGGATGGGTCACGAGCTATCCACGGACTGCAAAGGATTAGTTTTTTTTTTTTTTAAGATTAGTTTTTCTCCCGATTGGTCTCTTTGGAGGCCAACAATGCTTAGGGCTAAGGCGGGGAAACTGTTTCAGGTGAGATCAGGTGGGAAGGTCTGAAACGTAGCCAGCCCGCAAAGACACACATCCCACCCAAACCCTTGCTTCCTTCCCGAGTCCCCTGATGGGTACACTTTTATCCGGTGGGCTTAGTTCTGTTCGTTTAACAACTCTCAGTAGTGACTGAGGGATGCATTCTGGGAAGGCAGAGGGGGCAGGATGTGTGGAGGAGCTGGTCTAGGCTTGAGGATGGGTCTGGGTTAGGTTTGGTGGGTGGAGGAGTTGAAAGCCTCGCGTGTGGGGGAGGAGCTGAGCCGAAAAGCTTGTGGTGGCTCCATCTGCCAAAGTCTGGGAGCCAGTATACAGCCTGACCATGGATCTTAGCTTAGTGGACACAGACTCCTTCTGAGTCAGCCATTCTGACCCGGATTTATTGGGTGAGAGATAATGAGGAATCCGGTTTTAAGGTGAAATTCCTTAGCTTCTTCAAATCTTCCCAAGGTCAGAGGAAATTAAAGTTTCCCCCTCCACCCCTGGCCTTGTCCTCCAACATCAACTGAAAATCTCAGCAGAAGTCAGCTGTGACTGGAGGCTAGCCTCACACAGGGACCTGGGGGAAATCTCTTGATTGGACCCTGTGACTCTGTGGGAAGCCAGAGACCTGATCCCTGCTTACTCTAGTGACCCATGATGGGTATCTGTTCCTTCCTACGTCTGCCTCATTTTTCTCATCTGTACAATGGGAGCTGAGAGAAATGAGCCTGTGACATCTGGTAACTCAGCCTGCAGCTTCTGGATTGCAGGGTGTGCCCTTATAATGCCAACTGCCCTTACTCACATCCCAGGTCTGCTTCTCAGCAGCATGGTCCCCACGGCCAAGTCCCCAGCCAGGAGCACCTTAGACCTGAATCCATACTGGGCCGCTAGTTAGCGTTGTGACTCTGGGCAAGTTGCCATTTTGGCTGAGCTGCGGCCTCCCCCTTTGTAACTCTGGCAAAGTTTCCGAACCTACCAGGTAAAGATGAAGAACCATGCAAAGTGCTTTGAACGTGGCAAGCGTCAAGATTATTCCACAGACACAGGTGAGGCCTACGAGTCTTGGCCAAGGCTGAGAAAGCCAAGTGCTCTTTCTAACATTCGATGTCATCCTCCCTAGGGCGTTGATCCCAGGGAGGTTAAGACAGAGCTCCTGGTTGCAGACATCTTGATTTCTGCTAGATGACTAGTCTGCTACGCACGAAAGCATGTTGAAAGGGCTTTGAAAGGAATCCAGGGCCAAGGGTCTGGAGGCCAAGGTACAAGAAGCCAGGGTACAAGAAACCTATGAGACAAGCTTCAGGCAGCCACAAACCTGGATCAGAGAGACTCATGTCCTACTTACTGCCACTTATCCTTTTTTTATCAGAGTCCCAGAGCCAGAGAGGTTAAGACAGAGCCCCAGATGCAAATTCATTCCCCAGTGAGTCACTGCCTTTGAGTGACCAAGGTTTCTCCTCCTCCTTGTCCTGAGCCCAACTTTACATGGTCACGGAATCACTGGAAGGAACTTTATATGAAGAAGGTGGTCTCCTCCTGCCTCCATAGGAGGCTCTCTGTCCCCTGACCAGCTCCAGCTTGACTCACCTGCTCCCCTCTCTCTCCCACCTGTCTTCCTCGGTTCCTTCTACAGTTTTCTGCCAGCCCTGAATTCTCTTATTTTGCTCAGAAGAAGGGCAGTGAGTTTCCTCCCTGAGAAGAGGCATGGGAATTCACAGCCCAGGATACCCAGCTGTTTTGATGAAAGCTGAGACTGTTAATTGGCCCAGGAAGTTGAGTCAGATGGCTGCCAACCTGAATCAGCAGGAATGCCATTCAGGCGTGATGGGCTGTTATCCTTGCTAGGACCCAATGTAATGAATTTCTGTCCCTTCCCTGACATATGCTAGTGACAACACAGGGCCATAGGAGCCCAGTGTCCTCCCACATTCAGACTCACGTTCCCTCTCCTCCCTGCCCCTCCCATCTTTTGAGATAGACTCTCATATAACCCAGGCTGACTTCAAATTCATGGCCAAGGATGTCTGTGAACCTCCATACCTGAAGCCTCCTGTATTTGTAAGAGGGGGTACGGGGGGGGGGACAGGGTCAAGATGGACTGCCCTCTTCCCACAGTGACAATCCACCTTCCTTCTCACAGTCCTAAGGAAGGCAAAGGCTGCACAAAAACTTAGCTTGGGTTTAACTCAATGAACTGGGGCTTTCTTTTTAAAGAAACCCTGTTTTTCATAAGAATATAATCTGTTAGACTACCCACAAATATTATTAGCCTTTTTCATGGAATAACATTCAATAACATGAAAGATAAACAAACTGACAAGAGCTAGGCATGGTGGAGCTCACCTTCAATCCCAGCACTAAGGAGGTGGAGGCAGGTGGCTCACTGTGAGTTTAAGGCCAGCTTGATCGACATAGAGAGTTCCAGGCTAGCCAGGGCTACCCCATGAGACCCTATTAAATCCATGTAAGGGTGTATGCAGCTCAGTGAGTTTTGACATATGCAGAAGCAGCTGAAGAAGAACACGCAGAGCTGGGTGTGGTATAACCTGCCATCTCAGCATTTGAGAGGAAGAGAAAGGAAGGTTGCCTAGGCTAGCCCACATAGTAAGATCCTGTTTTAAAAGCAAAAGAAGAAAGTATATTTTCTGGCACAGTGGTGAATGTATATAATCCAAAGTCTCAGGACACTGAGGCAGGGGGATCTTAAAAGCATAATGGAAATAATAATAACAGCACTTGGGGTTTGAGAGATGGTTCAGTGGTTAAGAGTACTGACTGCTCTTCCAGAGGACCCAGGTTCAAATCCCAGTATCCACATGGCAGCTCACAACTGTCTGTAAGTCCAAGGTTTGACACCCTCATACAGACATCATGCAGGCAAACCAGCAGTGCACATTAAATAAATCAATATATATATTGATTTCAATATTATATATATATATATATAATATCAATATGTATATCTATATATATATATATAGATAGATAGATAGATGGGTGGATGGATGGATGGATAGGTAGATAGATAGATAGATAGATGGGTGGGTGGGTGGATGGATGGATGGATGGATGGATGGATAGATAGATAGATGAAACAGTTTCAGAACATTTTCAAAGAACATGGAGTATGTTTTGTTTGTCAAGGAGGGGAAAAAAGCAGAATTTCAAGAATTAGGGAACTGTACAAGATCAGTTAATAATCAACCATGTGTAAATCCCAGGAACAGGAGAAAGATGTCTGCTGTCCTATAACTGGCCAGGTGGTCAGCTCCTCCTGACCTGTGATCTTAGGCTATCTCTCATCTTAGAGGATATTTGTCATCACCTAGGGGGGCAGCAGAAGGCCTTGCTCATGTAAAACCCACAGGGTATGGAGACAAACCCAACTGCTGCAGGGTCACAAGGGGCCGGGAGCTGAGGTCAGAACCCAAGCAGGGTGGGGGCCTAGCCATTAGCCAGGAGGTCTAATCCTCATTTTCTTCTCATGAAAGTGAAGATAGCAAGCTTTCCTTTTAAATGTGTCTGAAGGATAGTGGTCTTAGGGACCCACAGGGACCCACAGAGTAGGCACTGAAATCAGAGACCTGGAGCTGCCTGCCCATGTTTGCCTAACTCTACTACAGACCTTTCAGACAGAAAGTTGGGAAGTTCTTTCTCTGAATTTGGGAGGGGCTGTGTGGCCCAGCCCTCTGGAGGAGGAGGGGGGAGGTCTCAACGCTCTCTCTTAACCTTGAGCTTGGTTATAAATGTGGCTCTGGAGGTTTGGGGCAGAGACACTTGTGCATCAGGAAGCAGCAGTCGTGTGGACAGTATGCTGGCCAAAGGACTTCCCCTGCGCTCAGCGCTGGTCAAAGGCTGTCAACCTTTCCTGAGCCCTATGTGGCAGGGTCCAGTGCTGGCCACCGGAAAGGGAGCCAGTGTCTCCACTAACTGTCCTCGATCCTTCAATGAGATCCCTTCCCCTGGTGACAATGGTTGGCTAAACCTGTACCACTTCTGGAGGGAGAATGGCACACAAAGAATCCATTATCATCATATGCAGAATTTCCAAAAGTATGGCCCCATTTACAGGTAAGTTTGACAGTGGGTGGAGGCAGGTGCAGGGAGAGGCACAGGGCTCCGGGTTCCTGTCTGCCTTCTACTTTCATTTCTTCCAGACTGGGGCTGGGCCTGGGCCTGGAGCTGGGCCCGGGGCTGGGGCTGGGGCTGGGGCTGGGGCTGGGGCTGGGGCTGATTGGATAGTCCTCCCTCATTTCTGGCTCCAAGACTTTATAGCTTTCTACTGGTATGAGGGGTGTGAGCAAACAGTGCTCCCCTTGCTGACCACCTTTCTGTCACCCTAAAAGTCAAGTTTGCTGTCTCCATCTTCAGGGGGAGGAAATGAGGCACTGGTCACCTGACTGTCCCCAAGCCCCCACCTGGCTTCAGTGCCAGCCTCAGCTTCAGGCCCTTTGTGACTGGAAACTGACTCTTAACCCCTGAGCCTTGAAGTTTTACTTTAATGGAGGAAAAGGGTGCCATCTGACTTTTGGGGCAGGTGACTACTCTGAATTATAATTCAGCAAGGGCAGGGCTGACTAGTAACATGGGGGATTCAGGAATTCCCTGCAGGATGATAAGGCAGTGTGCCGTGGCTCCAAGCCCAACAGGACAAGATTCAGCATAGAATTGACATGATGATGAATGGAAGATTTGGGGTGGGAGTGGGGCTGGTCCTGGGTGTGCTGTGTGGTGCCGGATAGTGTCCTGCTGTCCTTCAGAATGAGTCACAATGGTCGTAGGTACCTGTGTCATGTTTGGCTCTTCAGCAGTTCCACAAGACAGATGTCACATCCATCTCCCATTTCATAGGTGAAACTGAGACTCAGTAAAAGGAAGGTTCCAGTCAGAAAGCTGTGTACCGGTTGTATAGAGAGGCCTGGCTGCCCAGGGTGTTCACGGTTGCCTCAGGTCCGACATCAGCCGCTCTTGTCTTTCCAGGGAAAAGCTGGGTAACATGGAGTCAGTTTACATCGTGGACCCCAAGGATGCAGCGGTGCTTTTCTCATGCGAGGGTCCCAACCCGGAGCGGTACCTCGTGCCCCCCTGGGTGGCCTATCACCAGTATTACCAGAGGCCCATTGGCGTCCTGTTTAAGTGAGTTCTGAGCAAGCCGTGTGTGTGTGTGTGTGTGTGTGTGTGTGTATAGGGTTCATGTGTGTATAGGGTGTGTGTGTGGGTGCGTGTGTGTGTGTGTATGTGTGTGTGTGTAGGGTGCGTGTGTGTGTGTATATGTGTGTGTGTGTAGGGTGCGTGTGTGTGTGTGTATATATGTGTGTGTGTGTAGGGTGCGTGCGTGTGTGTGTATGTGTGTAGGGTGCATGTGTGTGTGTGTAGGGTGCATGTGTGTGTGTAGGGTGTGTGTGTGTAGGGTGCATGTGTAGGGTGCTGGAGGGAAGTGGTGGGGAGAGGAGCAGGGGGAGGGAGTGGCTCTGTTCATCTTCCTGTCCTATAAGGTAAGTAGATGATGGTGACAATGGTGATGACAGAGAACTGTCCCACTGATTCCCAGGGGAATGTTCTTCATGAATAGTGAAGACTTTGCAAAGTTCTCACTAATTGCTTTAACCATGAAGTGCCACTTTATCAGGCACCTGCTAGGCACCAGGCCTTGTGCCAGGTGTTGGCAGTACGGTGATAAATAAGGGCCTGACAGCCTGAAGGAGCTGTGAGAACCACCACATCTGCCATTGAGATGTAGATGCTGCTTCCTACCAAACTGCTCATTGATAAATCAGATATAGTCACATATATATATATACATATATATATATATATATAATTTATACATAAATATATAATATATAAAAATGTATATAAAATCTATCTATCTATCTATCATGTTTTGAGACAAGATCTTTCTACATAGTCTACTAGAACTTTCTAGAAGTTGCTATGTAGACTAGGCTGGCCTCAAACAGACATCAGCCTGCCTCCACCTCCTTTAAAGGTTAAAGACATGTGCCACCACACCCAGCATCATGGAAAGTTTTAAATGTGACTAAATCAAGGGTTGGCTAGGCTCTGGAGCAACTGAAGCTCTCTGGAGCAACTGAAGCTCTCGTCCACTGTAGTGGGAACATAAACTAGGCCTCGATGTGAGCAGTGCTTGGATGTTAACTCCCAAGACTGACAATCACTGGCCATGATGACTGTGATTCAGATAGTGTTTCTCATTTTAGTGACATGTCACAAGGTATTATCTCTCAGGGAACAGGGTCATAGGCTAGAATGTTTCTTCTGGCTATAGAAACAAAACAAAACAAAACCAGGAAGCCTTCTAGATAGTTGAGGAGGATGGTAGATGGTGGATGAGAAAAGGCTCCATATACCCGTCACAATGTACAGACTTGGGTCCATGACAGAACTGTCCTGAAATGTAAAACTGAGCGGAGAAGGCAAGTACTCCAAAGTCTGACAGGCATTTAAAAAATCTGGAAACAATTGCACATTTTTTTTTTAGTGTCTTTTAGGAGAGATTCAGTAAAACCATACACAAAAAGGGGGAAAGGACTCGGGCTTGGGGGGCTCCCATGTGTGAGGGTGTGTATGGGGGAGCAGGCTAGGCTGAAACCATGAGTTTACAAACTTCTTTGCCTCCAGACTCTCAACTTTTCTTTACGAAGTTTTTATTCATATTATTTATGCGTATATGTCTGGGTAAGTATATGTCATGTGTCATACCGCTGCCTCTGGAGGCTAGGAGAGGGCACCAGGTCCCCTGCAGTTGTTAGACTTGCCCTATAAGGATGCTGGGAACTGAACTTGGTTTCTCTGTAAGAACAGTGAGCCTTCTTTCCAGCTCACAACATTCATAAACAAACGAACTCCCCAAATTACAAAAGGAGCATTGCAGCCGGTGGTGGTGGTGGTGGTGGTGCACACCTTTAATCCCAGCACTCGGGAGGCAGAGGCAGGTGGGTCTCTGAGTTCGAGGCCAGGCAGGGCAGGGAGGGAGTAGGAGAGGAGAACAAATGTTGGGAGGAGGGGAGCTGCTGTGGCTGCTGCTGCAGGCTCTGGAGCTAGAGCGCCTAGCGAGTTCATCTGTGCCAGGTGTGGCGTCTGTGACCAAGAGGTGGGACCTGTGTTTCTCTAGGAGTTCAGATGCCTGGAAGAAAGACCGAATCATCCTAAACCAAGAGGTGATGGCGCCTGAAGCCGTCAAGAACTTTGTGCCCCTGCTGGAAGGCGTAGCTCAGGACTTCATCAAAGTCTTGCACAGACGAATCAAGCAGCAAAATTCTGGAAACTTCTCAGGGGACATCAGTGATGACCTATTCCGCTTTGCCTTCGAGTGTAAGGATCTCGCACATGGCTGTCTAGAGCCTGGGGACAGGGAGCCAGCGTTCAACCTCTTACCTTGAGACCCAGGCCATGCACTTATGTGGATTGGTTTCTTGGACATACTCTGCACTGTCAGCCTCTCAGGGGGTAGTCAAGTAGCTCTCATCCGACATTCATGTTATGGGGGGTCCCCAAAACACAGGTGCTCCATACCACCGTCCTCCAAAAGCCAGAAAGAATGTGGCCTGGTCCTCCATGCCGCAAATCTAGAAGCAGACGTCTGACGTTGAGCAAGAAATAGGGGGCCTGCTCGGTTGATCGGAACTGAGTGTTGAAGGATACCTAGAAATTATCCAGACTGGGTCAGGCAGTTAGGTGGCATAGTCCAGGAACAGTGGATGTGTGTGGCTTAGCGGAAATCACGTGATGCCTGCAGAAGATCTGGGATACCCCGGACTTGGTATGAAACTGGCATTCAGATTTTTCCTGTGATAAGTGAGGAAACTTGAAGATTGTTGTAATCTCCTAGTTCCAGCCAGATTGAGTCCTGGGTGACTTGGAGACTTGCTATCTCAAGTGACGTAGTGACTTCAGTCAATAGCAAAGGGAAATCGCTCCTGGACACTTCCGTTCTGGCTCAGGTGGGGTCCATGCTTCCCATCAAAGCACCTGACTTGAAGCCAGAAGGGCAGTCTTCTTCTATCTCTTGGGGCTCAGGTTTCTTTGCTAGAGGAGGCTAAGGGTGAGTGAGAGCTCTTGTGTGTGGTGGGCATGGGTGGGGATGGTTCTGGGAGCTGAGGCTCTCAGAGAGCTAGGCTGGAAGAGGGGTCCTCAGCCTCAGTCTCTTACTGCAGCCATCACCAGTGTTGTATTTGGGGAGCGCCTGGGGATGTTGGAGGAGATCGTGGACCCCGAGTCCCAGCGGTTCATCAACGCCGTCTACCAGATGTTCCACACTAGTGTCCCCATGCTCAACCTGCCTCCAGACTTCTTTCGACTCTTCAGAACTAAGGTCTGGAAGGACCATGCAGCCGCCTGGGATGTGATTTTCAATAAAGGTGAGGACTCCTCTGGCAGGACTCAGGATGTGGTCTACCAAGCTGACAGAGTGCGTCCAGCTGGACGCCTGACCAAGGGCCGCCTCTGTTCCACAATTAGCCAATGGCCACTAATTTACCATGGGGGAAAATCTCTGGGAAGCAAGAATGTGTGTCGGGGCTGGAGGCTGACTACTGGAGTTGATTACTTTTTTCTTCTAGAGAAAGAGACTAAGGATGTTCATGGTATTCATGACTAGGGGCTAGAGAGATGGCTCAGCAGTGGACACTTACTGCTCTTACAGAGGACCTGGGTTTGCATTCTAGAACTCACATAGGGCAATCACAACTGCCTGTAACTCCAGCTCCAGGGGGATTTATGTACTCTTTTGGTCTCCACAGACACCTAGATTTACACACGTGCATGCAAATACACACACAATACATACATATACTTAATTTTTTAAAAAGTCCTTCTTTAAAAGGTGCTCAGTATCTATCGAGTTGAGGGCTAGTGTTTGAGCCCCATAGTTGTCTGTGCAACAGGAGGCCAGAGGGGAAGGCTAGGAGTTGTTGAGAGGGAAGACTGATAGAAAAAGCTGACTGGGGTGTGGTGGAATCTAATGTCACCTCAGCCTTAAGTACCTCTGTGACCTTGGGCCACCATCTCTACTCAGTTGGTAAAGCGCTTGCTTTGGACCTGTGAAGAGCTGTGTTCAGTTCCCAGAACTCAGATTAAGTCATAGTAGTGCTTTCTTGTAATCCCAGTGCTAGGAAGGCTGAGATATGTGTTTCTGGAGGTTACTGGCCAGCTACCCTGAACTACTTGATGAGTTCCAAGCCAAGGAGAGACCCCATCTGAAAGAAACAAGGTGAACGGTACCTGAGGAACAACAGTCGAGGTGGCATCTTATTGGTACCTCCTCCACGCACACACAGTGGGGATGATCAAGAAATAAGTGACAAGGGCTGGGGAACTGTCTCAGTTGTTAAGAGCACTGGTTGCTCTTCCAGAGGACCCTGGTTCAATTCCTAATCTACAGGGTAGCTCACAACTGTCTGTAACTCCAGTCCCAGGTAATCCGATACCCTCCTCTGGCCTTCATGGACATTGTACACACATGGTATACAGACATACCAAATAGAGGCTTAACAAAATGACTGCCTAGAAAGCAGGGGCTCTGGAATACTCAGGCCTTAGTGCCCCACCCCTGAAGACTGATGACCCTCCCACTGGCCTCAATCTGTTCTTCCTATTCCTTAGCTGATGAATACACCCAGAACTTCTTTTGGGACTTAAGGCAGAAGCAAGACTTCAGCAAGTACCCTGGTGTCCTTTATAGCCTCCTGGGAGGCAACAAGCTGCCCTTCAAGAACATCCAGGCCAACATTACAGAGATGCTGGCAGGAGGGGTGGACACGGTGAGTGCTGTGGGCCCAGAGTGAGCCTCCTTGGTCCCTATGTGCTCCCTTCCCCATCAGCTGTGTTGCCTGAAGCTGTTCAAGGTGAGAAGCTGGGCCTGGGTGATATGCTTCTCTCCCTTGGTGCTGGGCCTTAAACAGTGGTCTCCTAGAAGGGTGAGGCCAAAGTCCTGCCATGACCCTAACATTTTACCACCCATAGGGCAGGATGATTTATCTGAGACTGATTTATCTGTGAGAAAGAAGGAAATAACTCCAGTTCAGGTCCTGTATAGAATTTGGTTGTTTTTGAGATGGGGAACTTATGTAGCCCAGGGTGACTTTGAATTCACTATGTAGTCAAGGATGACCCAGAACTCCTGATTTTTCTGCCTCCACTCCCTGAATTTAGGAATTATAGAGGTGTTATTACCATGCTTGATTCTTTAAAAAGTTTGCTTTTATTTGTTTCTTATGTGTATGAGTGTTTTGCCTGCATATATTTTTGAGCACCATGTGAGTGCCTGGTACACGGGAGGACAGAATATGGCGTCAGGTCCCTTGGGACTGGCTTGACAGTTGTGAGCCACCGAATAGGGGCTAAGGCTATGTCTTTTTACCTGCTGAGCCATCTCTTCTGTCCCCCACCATGTTTGATTTTATACAGTGCTGGGAACAAACCCAAGGCTTCAATGCATTCAATGCTAGATAAACATTTTACCAAATAAGCTACATTTTCAGACCCTTTGTATATATTTTATTTGTTTGTTTGTTTTGTACAAGGTCTCACTTTGTTGTGTAAGTGGACCTGGAATTCACTCTATAGCTCAGGCTGGCCTTGAATTCACACCAACCTTCCTGCCTTGGGCTCCCAAATGCTTGAATCCTCAGCATCCTCAGGCCAGAGACAGGAAGCTGGTAGTCTCGAGAGCATAAACCACAATAAAAGATTAGTGGATCCGACAACAGACATTTATTTTTTTCACAGTTTGTAGCTGGAACCATTATTAAGGCGTGGGCAGGAGTGATTCACTCTGAGGTTTGAAGGTGGCCATCTTCCTCACATCTACACAGGGGCTTCTTTCTGTGTGTTGTACTCTCTCCTTCTTAGGGCATGATTACTGGGCTAGAGCTCACCAGCGTCCCTTTCATCCCATAGTCTCCTTAAAGGGCACACCAAATGCAGACATGTCATGAGATATTAAGAGTTGGGATAGCCAGACCATGGTGGCACATGCCTTTAATCCAAGCATTCAGGAGGCAGAGGTAGGCAGTTCTTTGTTAAGTTCAAGACCAGCCTGGTCTACAGAGTGAGTTCCGGGACAGCTGGGGATACACAGAGAAACCCTGTCTCAAAAATCAAAACCAAAAAAAAGGAAGAGGAGGAGGAGCAGGAGGAGGAGGAGGAGAGAAGAAAAGAAGAGGAGGACAAGAAGAAAAAGAGTTAGGATGAAGACATGTGGCTGGTGGCAGGTATTAACAAGTCTGTCACATGTCGCAGTGCTAGATGGCAGAGGTTTGCACAGCTACTGACTAGTAGTTTCTAAAGCAGAGTATTGCTTGTGGTGTCAGTCATGAGATTCCTTTCAGGCAGGCAGTTTGTTTTGATTCCAACTGTGGTAATTGGGGTGGGGCAACCCCATCATGAGGTGATCCGCTTGTCAGATTCTGTTCTTGGAATCTCAGCACCATCTAAGTTCCTCTTATCTTGGTGTCTTCAGCTTCAGAAGAGAAGAGATAGCATAGGCCAACTAATCAACCTTGTGCACCAGCTTTTACAGATGTCCTTTAAAGTGATCAGATGATGTTTTTGAACAGAGTTGAGCAAGAATCTGAATCAGAGTTGAAGGTTGTAGAAAGCCAGTGTTGTGGATGTAGACAGTGTGGCTAGGTACTGGGTGGGTTCTCTGGCCTGCTTTCCTGACAAGAAACCAAACTTTTATTTTATGTTTTCTTGCCCATTGGGCAACGGATGAGTCTGTGCTTTTAATAAAGGCGGACATGAAGGCCCTGTGACACTGTGAGGTATCATCTTTTTAGATGAAACAGTGGTACAGAGAGGTTAAGTAACTTGACTGAGGCACACAGCTAGTAGAGTGGAATGGACTATCTTGATTAACAACTATCTCTAGGTGTCTACTCTGTAAACACTTGGAGGCTCTGAGACAAACACGCACGTGATCTGTTTTCAAGGAGTCTGTATTTGTTTTCTGGGTAGTAAAGGAATGGTTTTTAGGAGGAAATGCCTTGGGGAAGATTCCCAGTATCTGCAGCCCTGCTTAGCTAGGGCACTGGGCATGTGTTGAAGAGGCCGTAGGAGAGACGCTAGGGTGGTGTCTATGGAGGTGTCTGTGGAGCCTCTGCACGTCATCTGGAGACTCTGAGGAGCCAGGACTTTAAGCCAAGGAGTAACTTGAGCTTTTCTTTTTAAACTTTCGTCTCTGCCAGGAAGAAAGAGGTGTTTATGTTTAACATATTTCTTTTGGACAGAAATATGATCCTTGGTTAACATGTCTGCAATCCCTGTCTCTCATCCCGGGACAAAAGGTGTTCCAGGCTGGGGCCTCATATAGGCGTCCTCTGCTAACTTGTTTGAGTCACTGTGGGACTTGAATGGAGCCAGTGGTGGATGACAGCAGCCTTTGGCTCGTGTTGACACCACGTCATCAATCCCAGTACATCTTTTGCACCAACTTTAGTAGCAAAGATGGAGAACAGATCCGTGGTCTGGTTTCAGGCTGGTTGAATCGTCCTTTCAGGTCTGCTGCTGGTGTGAACGCTAAGGTTTAGACTGCTGTAGGTGAGCTATCCTGAGACCTCTGTAGACCAGGCTGGCCTTGAACTTGGAAATCCACCAGCCTCTGACTCCCAAGTGCCACTATGCCCAGTGACGTGGACTTGAGTGTGCAAGCCTTACAGAGATGTATATACATGTGGTTTCTGGAAGACTCTGGAGCCCTCCAGAAGAGCACACTCCATTTGTTAGGAGATGAATGAGAGCTGATGACACTCATGGTGAAATCCTGCTCTGAATATCCCTTCCTGAGCATGAGCTATTTTTTTGAGGCAGTATAATCAGGTAGCCCAGGCTAGCCTTGAAAGATGATCTTGAACTTCTGAATCCTCCTGCCTCCCAAATACACCAACACACTCCGAGTATATGGTGCTGGGGATTGAGGTGAGGGCCTTTTGCTTGTTAGGCAAGCACTGCCCTGGTTGATTACATCACAAGGTCCCTACTTGGACACCAAGAAAACCTTTTGGAGCGTTGGCCTTTCGAAGATTTGCAAATGGTCTTGGATGTGGAGGTTGAGAGTGGTGTGGGTCATGGTGAGGTGACTTGAAGTGACAGGCCTTCTTGACCTTCACAATCCATGTTCCTACCAGACCTCCATGACCCTGCAGTGGAACCTTTATGAGATGGCACACAACTTGAAGATGCAGGAGATGCTGCGGGCTGAAGTCCTGGCTGCCAGGCAACAGGCCCAGGGAGACATGGCCAAGATGGTGCAGTTGGTCCCACTCGTCAAAGCCAGCATCAAGGAGACACTGAGGCAAGTCCAGGATGTCCATGCCCAACCCCTGGAGAAGGGTTTCAAGGATGGGCTAATGGAGAAGATTAGAATCAGGAAGGGAGATATTTGGAAGAGACAAGCAGGGCTGAGAAGATAAATCTAGAAGCAAAACTCTGCTTTAGTTCCCCCTGGGGTGCTGTAGTGGGTGTGTGTGTGTGAAATTCCAGGCTGGTGTGGGAGTCAGGGTGGAGGATATAGCCTGAGTCCAGGATCTGGGACTAGCTATCTCTGAGGGTTCTCTTTCTGCAGACTCCACCCCATCTCCGTGACCTTGCAGAGGTATATTGTGAATGACCTGGTGCTTCGTAATTACAAGATTCCAGCCAAGGTAGGACTCAGGAGCTCTGCCAGTCAGATGGAGGAGAGGGAGGAGCAGGCTTCAGTTCCGGGCAGATGGTGGTGATGGGGGCTTCTATCTAAGCCTTTCTTCCTGATGCTAGGCCATTGGTAGAATACCGAGTTATAACAGTCTAGTTTGTGTGAAGGTAGTGGTGGGGGCATGGTGGGTAGTGGATACTGGAGTCCAGGGGTAGGAGACTAACATGACTGGTCTTTCTGGGTTGCGGGTGAGATAGGAGTGGAGAAAACCATATGTGTTATTCCTAATGTTGTGTCTTCTGCCTTCATCAGGGCTCACAGAGCCTGAGGAAGCTGAGATTAGGGTCGTACCCAGGACTTTGGGGAACTGGAATTGCTTAAGCCTTGTTACCTTGCTCCTAGACTTTGGTGCAGGTGGCTAGCTATGCCATGGGTCGAGAACCCAGCTTCTTTCCCAATCCAAAGAAGTTTGACCCAACTCGCTGGCTGGAAAAAAACCAAAATGGCACCCACTTCCGGTCCTTGGGCTTTGGCTGGGGTGTCCGACAGTGTCTGGGCCGGCGGATTGCAGAGCTGGAGATGACCATTTTTCTCATCAATGTGAGTAGGGCTCTGGCTCTGGGACATGTCAGCACCCTGGGATTTCACTGACCCCAATGAAGTCACTAACCCTCCTCTGTCAGAATCCAGGGACTGTGCAGGGCCGAGGTTCATTAGTCTCCCACAAGTCTCAGCTGCTTCCTCCTTTGGGCTAACCCACTTACTACCCATTGACATCTATCTCCCAACTCAGGTGAGGTGGAGAGGTTGCTACAGACTAGTTAAGGTCAAAGGCTAAATCCATGAAACAGCATGCAGGGCCCATTTAGACACAGTGAGAGGTTGACTAATATGTTCTTTAGATCATTCTCAGCAGATTGACCCTGTGCCTACAGACATTATGTGTGTATGACCCAGGAGAGACAAATCCTCCTTCCTGCCTCTTTCTTCTTCAGGTGCTGGAGAACTTCAGAATTGAAGTCCAAAGTCTCCGTGAGGTGGGGACCAAGTTCAACCTCATCTTGATGCCTGAGAAGCCCATCTTCTTCAACTTCCAGCCTCTCAAGCAGGACCTGGACCCAACCATGACCAGAAAGAGTAACACTGTATGAACTACAGGCTGGAGTCACAAGGGGAGATGGGTCACTGGGTCATTTGAGGGTGGTTGTCTCTGTATCTCCAGAAACAGCACTCTGTGATTACCTGCCCAGGTTAGCTGGACCCTCTTCTCCCTCATCCTGTCCCCCTCTTTACTTACCTAGGAAGTTAATAAAGACATGAACGCTGAGAAGTATTTGTATCTTGTCAGTCTACTAAGCCATTCATTGTCCTCAGGGAGATGCATCCTGATCCCTGGTCCACAGTGGGATGAGGGGCATGTGGGGAGATAAGGAGCAGTTACCCAGCCCAACCTTGAACCCCCATCCCCAGCAGTTCAGGAGCTAGCGGAATCTACTCTAAGACCCAGGGAGCTCTGCTGTGAGGACAGGGTGGCCTGAGGGATGTGGGTAATCCCTATCCTGGGTGGAACTACAGGGAAGGTAAGGCTGGTGTGGGGTTCTGCTTGGCTGGCTGCAGCAGGCGCTCCTTATGGCATTGTAAGGACTTCTTCCTGAGGTTCCTCTGTGTTGACCATGGCTATGGCTGAGGCCTGTGGTGAAGCATCATGCGGGGAAGAGGCTGATGTGAGGAAACAGAGCCTGAAGACAGAAGGCCAAAAGGCTCCCTGCCCTCTGCCGGCCCTTCCAGTGGACATGCTACAGGGGCTGTAATCTAAGAAAGCAGGATAGTGTCTAGACTAGAATTTGGTTTTATATGACACCCGTCCCAGTCAGGTCTATTATATCCCTCTGCTTCTAGTTCTATAGCCTAGCTGTGAGCCGGTGCCAGAACCTGGCTGGCTCCTGTCTACCTAAGTCCAAGTCCTGTAAATAGGTGTGAAGACTAGGCCAGCTCAGAACAGCAGCGAAGCTAGCTTGGTCCTTGCTGGCTAGGCCGCAGGTTCTGGGTTTACTCTTGAGGCTTTTTCTTCTCCCTTAGTCTATGACATTCCTCCTGTGTCTGTCTGTCTGTCTGTCTGTCTGCCTGCCTCCCCCCTCTCTGTCCTCTATGCTGTATTTCCTCTCAAAGATGACTCAGAACTGTCAGTGCTGGAAAGAGCCTCCTTGCTAGACAGACAGCTCTGCATGGGGTAGATGAAGAATCTGGAGTTCAGAGAGATCTCCAGTTAGTTAGAGTCACCCAGAATGCTCATGCCTCAGAACCCAGACCAGCTGGAGCCCGAGCCCTGATGACTTCCTTATACACATATCACCTGTTCTGCCAGCCATGATGGGATATTTGAATGGTGTCATAGAAAAGCTTCAAGCCTTTTTGTTCCCGGGTAACTCTGAAGACCTAAGCATGCATAAAAGGATTTCAGACATGAAAGGTATTGGGGGCATAGGGGAAACATGGCCTCTCTTTTGTCTTGCACAGAACTTGCCTTCAGGTACCTTATTTCTAGTCTCCATGGTCCCTAGCCTCAGAACTCTCCAGGGATCATCCTAGCTTTCGCTTTCCAGGTCAGGCAGCAGGTACCAGGCAGCCTCAGAGAACCCAGGACCCCAGCTGGATGTGAAAAGAGCAGCCGGCCCACTGCCAATTGCTTACTCCACAAGAGAGACAAGTGCTTATTGACTTACAGCTTTTACTAAAGACAGCTTTGGGGGCGGGTGAGTCCCCAGCACATGGCAAAGGAGGTCTGTTCCACTCTCAGGTCTTCTGGGGGTTAGAACTCTCAATCTGGGAGTTTGAGGGTCTGTTGAGCTTCATATCTGAGCTGGGCAGTGAGGGTTCCAGTTTGGAGGGCTGCAGGGGATCCTTAGCTGCTCCAGAATTCTGTGACATACAAGTGGGACAGATGAGTACATCCTCATTCCAAGGGTACATTACCTCAGGGCATGTCACCTGGCAAGTCAGGCTTCTGAGACTCTAAAACCCAGTAGGCTGTGACTTCTGGGTAACATTGGAGCCCATTTCACCACCGAAGGTGATGACCAATATCTCTGGGTCCCTAGTGCTAATGAGTTTGCAGAGTTAGTCCTATGTTCCCTGGAAGCCCTTCAAGTTCTGTCTAGTATTTGTAGAGCCTTGGCTGCAAGCAAAGTGCTGACAGTGAAGGGTAGAAAAATCGGGATCTTTTGTTGTAGGGTGTGAAGTCCCAGGACTGGCCCTCAGGTGGAGAGCAGTGAGTATCTATGGGTAGCTATTTGTTCCTGGAAGAAGGCAATGTGAACCTATTCCTAGGACTGATGTCACCTGAGAAGGCAGCTAAATATGCCTTTAATCCCAGCGTTTAGGAGGCAGAGGCAGGCAAACTATGAGTTGGTCTACAAAGTGAGTTCTAGGGCAGCCAGGGCTGTTGAGAAACCCTGCCTTGAAAAGCAGAGAGAAAAAGAGAGAGAGAGAGAGAGAGAGAGAGAGAGAGAGAGAGAGAGAGAGAGA